TCCTGCTTCAATTGTCTCGCTGCTGTTTTTGCTTTGTTGCCTGTTCTGCTTTGCGCTGTTTGCTCTTCTGGGTGCCAGGGTCGGGCTCCTGTGTGCTTCTTCCCCCTCTCTCCCCCCTTTTTCCTTCCTTTGTTCTGCCTGCTTGTTGTGTGCTCCCCTTGCCTATTGTCTGCCTTTGTTTGTTCTTTCCTCTTGTTTCCTCGGTCGCTGGCTGTCCTTGTTCCCTCCCTCGTTCCCTCACACTTCTTGTGTGTGTGCGTGTGTGTCCAGAGCTCAGGCACTTCAAAAGCCATTCGATCTGGAATTTTAGCACGAATCCGCCTTATTTTGACAAATGTGTAATGTGTTCCAACAAGCTTCAAGATTTTCTGGGACTATTGGCCAGTATTGATGCAAATCTACTCACACAGAGACTGACTCAAATTCGACATTGAGAAGTTGCTGAGCGCGTTTCACCGTCCATCTCTTTTGAGCGATCTATTGCGATTTGTTGCCAAATATTGCCCCCCAAGGGGCCTGTGTGCGTGTCCTGTTTTAACAAACAGGCAGTAACAGGTCAACTGTTAACTCGTGATATGCAGGACAGAGCTCTCTGATGCTGTTGGTTTGGCTTATATGTCAAGAAAAATCCTGCGATCCATGGCAACTGGGCTAAGCCACAAACCCAGCATGCGGAATCTTGCCCATTCAGGATGCAGTAACTCAGGAATCATCAAGGGGAGGACAAGGTCTATCAACAGTACCTCCACAACATACCCAATCTCCATTGCGTGTGTGTTTGTGTATGTATAGGTATATATGTATGTAAAAGTATATGTATATGCATATGTATGTGTATATATTTGTGTGTGGTCGTATGCATGTGTGTGTATGTGTATATATATATAGACTATATAGATATATACATACGTAAATATATATATATATCTATAGATATATATATATATAGATATATAGATATATATAGATATGTGTGTGTGTGTCTGTGTGCGTGTGTGAAATATATATATATATGCATATATATATTATATTATATATGTGTGTGTGTAAATTTATTTACATACATAATTATATATATATGTGTGTGTGTGCAACATCTAAATAGATGTAAAACGACTCCTTTTTTGTTTTTCTTTCTTCTCTCCTTTTAATAAAGCAGGGGGCATGCGGCCATCATGCAAACGCATGCCAACGAAGCTATGCATGATGGTGGAAGCCGGGGCTGATCACCCTGGTGTACCTGCATTGTTGTGATTACCTGTTGTTCAGGGTCTGCTTCCAATCCCAATTTTGACATGGCAAGCGGCCAAGCCCAGAACTGCACAATTGAAACCTTTATTTCACGGCTGGCGCAATCTGATTTTTGATGCCATGACGAGTTTTTCGACGTTTGTATTCTGGTTTGGTCTACGTTTGATATTTTGGGAAGTTCTTCATCGTTCTCGCGAAGTACAACCACGTGATCTACTTTCGGTCTAATTATCTAGGCTGGTTGCACGTTAAAGGACTCAGTTCCTGATGGATCTCTTCAAAGATCTAATTTTGTCTAGTGTAATATATCCATGGTGACTCCGACATGGTGCCATGGAGCCACTTGAGGCAACCCCTTTGCGGGTGACTGTGGACGAACTTGACATCGGAATTGACACTTTTAAATTAGTAATTCGTTTAAGTAGTGCGAAACAGTTGGCCTTTCCGTTCTGCACCATTTTTGTGATGTCCCGCTGGTCCTATGGTCCCAGGGAACCTTGTGGAATGCACCCCTACTTGCGAAAAGCCGTTCGGGACAGTCAGAAACCTTGTTTTTTCGCTGCCGCTCAAGCTTTTGAAACGACACATGACCATGAAGGATGTTGCAGGCAGGCACATGCCTTTCAGGTGTGGTCTTTCTTGCTTTTAATGGTTTTCTGGTGAGGTTGAACATATCGTGCACCTAATTCGTTGGAACTTGAACAGCTGTTTATGCCTTTTGGCGCGGCTTGACTACGGTCCCGAAGGCGAGTAACGCACGACACGTGTTGTAGTTGGAACTGGGTCCTATTTAGATTAATTGTTTTGTTTGTTTCACGCCCGTCACCAACTAGCCCCCATTCGGTCCCTAATTCTTCCCCTGTGCTTCTCCGTAATGTGTCGTGGGGTTTAGGTGTGTGCTCTGTTTTTGTCAGGTCCGTTTCGCCGCGTAGGTTGTCTCTGGAGGTCCGTTCGTTCCCTTCCCCCCCCGCGCTGTTCTGGCCTTTTGCCCGTCGTCTGTGTCCGCTTTTTCCTTCCTCTTGCCTTTCAGGGTTGACCCGGCTCCGGCCGGGGGTGTGTGTGTGTGTGACATCTAAATAGGTGTAAAACTTCTCCTTTTTTCTTTTTCTTTCTTCTCTCCTTTTAATAAAGCAGGGGGCATGCGGCCATCATGCAAACGCATGCCAACGAAGCTATGCATGATGGTGGAAGCCGGGGCTGATCACCCTGGTGTACCTGCATTGTTGTGATTACCTGTTGTTCAGGGTCTGCTTCCAATCCCAATTTTGACTGACATGGCAAGCGGCCAAGCCCAGAACCGCACAATTGAAACCTTTATTTCACGGTTGGCACAATCTGATTTTTGATGTCATGACGAGTTTTTTAACGTCTGTATTCTGGTTTGGTCTACGTTTGACATTTTCGGAAGTTCTTCATCGTTCTCGCGAAGTAAAACCACGTGATCTACTTTAGGTCTAATTATCTAGGCTGGTTGCACGTTAAAGGACTCAGTTCCTGATGGATCTCTTCAAAGATCCAATTTTGTCTAGTGTGTGCATCTATGCATCTGTACATCTATGCATCTGTACATCTATGCATCTACCATCATCTATCTATGCGTCTGTCTTTCTATCTTTCTATCTATCTATCTATCTATCTGTCTATCTATCTATCTATCTAATCTAATCTAATCTAATCTAATCTATCTATCTGATCTGATCTATCTAATCTGATCTATCTTTCTTTATTTATTTCTTGTTTTTTCTTTATTTCTTTCTTTCTTTCTTTCTTTCTCTTTCTTTCTTTCTTTCTTTATGTCTTTCTTTCTTTCTTTCTTTTTAACTTTCTATCTAATCTATCTAATCTATCTAATCTATCTAATCTATCTAATCTATCTGATCTATCTGATCTATCTAATCCATCTATCTATCTAATCTATCTATCTATCGATCTATCTATCTATCGATCTATCTATCTTTGTTTCTTTCATTAATTCATTCATTCCATTTCATTCCATTTCATTTCATGTCATTTCATTTCATTTCATGTCATGTAATGTCATTTCATTTCATTTCATTATCTATCTATCTATCTATCATTATCTATCTATGTGGCAGTATGATGTGAATGGGCAAGACCTGTTCGCTCAGTCTTATCCTTGCACTCAGGGTTCCAAGCGATGCTCCACATCATATGGAAGGAAGAGTGCTTCGGATTTGGGTTTTGGCAGTATCGGCTGTAATGCATGGACTGATTTCTGAGGTGATGTACACTGTCAGACTGTCACAAGCTGCGCTTGCTGCCCTTCACCTGATCAAGAATATCATGTCCATGTCTTCGGTGAAACAATGCGTTGTATCTAAACTAATCTAAACTATGTTCTCCACACTTAGCACTTCCACCACAAGCCTGCATAATCTGCGTAGCATCATTGATCAATTAATATCAAAAGATACATCGATAAACTACATCACATCCTGAGGAGTTGGATTTCCATGGAGTTCCCGGCATCTTTTCCGAGTTGTACTTGGATCCTGTCTGATCTCGGATATTCTCGGATCATGTCTGATTTGCATCAATGATACAGGACCACATAGGACCACCATGCTTGCTGTTTCTGTTTCATTGTGTTTCATTCTGTTTCCATAGCTGTCTGCATGTGCTCTCTTTGTGATTTGCCGATTGCCTCCAAAAATCAGGACACTACAACCCGAAGACATCGTCTATGGGGTCCCTTTGGAAGGATGGACGAGAGATGACGAGAGCATTTGAAAATATGTTGATGTAGCTTAGAAACAAAGACAACTGTCATCAACTTCCTGGATGTGGATAGTGCTGCCTGAGGAAAGTTCCTTTCAACTGTCTGTTCCTAGCCATGCTTGGCGCCCTGTACGGCACGAGTCAAGTGATGGAGAATGTGGAAGTGTGAAATGCCACCGTATCTCGGGTGACAGGTGCATATGAGTGCAGTGAATGCAATATGACCCAGAATTGGGTCATCGTCAATGCATCTCACCAAGGTGATCTTTCCAGCATATGGATGCCAGAAGGAGCACACGAACGGAAGATCACACCAGCACCCACCTCTCAACCCTTGACAGAAGACCCGTCACAAAAGGTGGGTGTCCTGCCAAGTCCCCAGCGGTTTCAACGCTAGGCAAGCTTGCTCCAACGCCACACTCCCGTCGGGAGACCATGATGATATGTTTCGCGGGAGTTCCAGTCTTTGCCCCACAATGTCAAAAAGCGTTGGCGCAAGCATACACGAGACTGCTTGATTGCAGATGTGTGAACATTGAGCGGAATTGTGGCTTGGCCAAGTGAGGAGTTGTCAAAACAACCACGACCACCATCTACCAATTATGATCAATTATGTAATGAACATGTAATATAACGAAGCGTTATCTCAGACATCACATGGTCCAAGGTCCAAGTCTACACTCCGCACAAAGCTAGTAACCGGGCAGCTGCCCGGCTTCCCGAACCACATTGTGAGGCTGGGCATTGAAAAATCGCGCCCATCCTGTGAATAGACACACCCTAGGTGTTCAACCAAGGTTGCCTCTCATCCTCGGAAAATACAAGCCTCTTCAAAGCTCCGGCTTGTGACCGTGCAGGACCGTGCTCCTGCCTAATCGCCTTCTGCAAAGGCAAAAGGGATTGGGAATGATTGGGATTCTTTTACAGAAGAATATGCAGAACCCGAACATCACCCAACTGAGCTCCGTTCCAGCATCGTGCTTGGTTTTTAATCACCCTGCAATCACCATACACCACTTCTGCCTTTGCTCCAGCAACACTCCTTCGACACCGTGCCTCAGCCGTAGCCAGGGCTGGGTTCCCAGCTGAAAGCAATGTGAAGGGCATTTCCAATGGCTGATTCAGAGGTACCTTCCTGGTCCACTGCGGCCAATCCATCATTAGCGAGAAATAATTCTAATTGTAGTCTAACATATAGTAGTCTAGCCATGTCTAACCTGCAACACAGGACCATCTTTGAAGCTGTGGCAGAAACCCTGGTCCACTACCAGTAGAATGTTATATATAATGCCTATATATACATAGAGAGAGAGAGAGTAATCCCATATATCATTTATCAATATTTATCATATATCATCATATGTCCATAAATTGTCATACTGTAATAATTCACATTGCATGCGTGGTATTTTTTGAACATGCTCGAACAGTATGGACATGGCATTCAATGGTAACAACATGTAACAACATCACCTATCAACCAAGATCAGCCAAGTTTAATGGCCAGGGCACCTGAGGCCCTGGCTTACTGCCCCTCCTTCTTCGCACGACGCTGACGTGGATTCCTGGGTCGTTCAGCAGCAAAAACGGCTAGCATTTGCTGGCAAATGATGCGACTCTGTGACTCTGACATGCAGAACTGCAATCTGATCTCGCCATAGCTTGCCATCCATCCAAAAATGCTCGCACCAGCAGTTGCAATTGAATTCAAGTTGCTTTAAGATTCTGCAAATGTTCACAAGGTTCCCTCCACCCTGAGTGCTCTGACTGGCCACGGCTGCGTGTTGGGCGTGCGTTGCTGGCGTTTGACACAGGCTTCTTCCACTTGCAAAGGTGGCAATGGTCCTTGGTTTGAAAAAGTTTGAGGGGGTGAAGGTGGGTTCCTTCCTCAACTGCTTCGGATTGCTTCAGCCAAGTTTCGCAGTTGGCTCCATCTTTGCATCCCTTTCCTGGCGACCGGAAGGGTCACAGCAACACATGGCCAGTCATGAAAAAAGCGTGGGATCCTTGGCGCCTCATTGCTGGACTTGGATAAAATACCACCCCATCCAGCCACGTGTTGCATGAAAACTGGTTGAACTGCTTGTTGTGCAAAAGCCAGGAACACATGTGCCAAGAATATCCAAGATCATCAATACTGGAAAACTCATGAAAACTCAACAGTTCATGAACAGGTTCCACCTACAGGTTCGACCCAAGCCGCTCCTTTGGAGGCGTACTTGCAGGCTGGTCCGCAGTTGAAAGGATGACCTGGCAAGTGACCCATCCAATGGATCTCAATGGGATCTCAATGGGATCTCAACAGTCGATCGATGGTTCAAACTGCGGCGCCTTGGGAGCCAAATGAAATGCACAAAGGATACTGCAAGCCCTTGCCTTCCTCCTAAGCCATCACTCTGCATGCCCATGCGCTGCTGAGTTTCTCACGACTGGATACGATTGGATCATGCCACTGATCGTTCTGGAGGATTCTTGAGTTTCTGTTTCTGCGGACCCCAGGCTCATTTCTGACATGCCAACTAAATGAGCTTGCAAACCTTCACCAGCCCATGCTCTGGGATACGTGCCACTGCAGCTTCCGCTTCATCAGCAGCACCTTCCACATCGACAATGTCCTGAGGCCAAAGCTGGAGGACGATTTTTGTCAGTGATTCAGATTCATATTGATTCCTTATACCTAGGAAACCCAGAGGTGCATAATTTTCGCCGTCAAGCAAAAATATGGTTTTTGCCGTTTCGTCTGGTTTTCGCCGTTCGCCCCCTTCTAGAAGTTGAGATACGGGAGCGCTTATTTATTCACTAGGCAAACACTACCATCATACACATGTAAAAGAAGAAGGTTGTGGTCGAGTTGAATGTAATTGAAATTTGGAAAAACATATTATTCGATTGTCTGTCATGCCCGATTGGCCAACAGCCTCGCAACTGTGTCAGCCTCTCGTTTCTTTCCGAACACTTGCACAGCTAACTCTCCATGGTCAACTGCAAAACATGACATCAAAGATGTGCAAAGCATGGGGGCCAAATTGATACAAGGCTTGGGCAAAAAGTCCTAGGAGAGATAAATTTCAAGAATTTTCAAGATTTGTTTGGGTTGTCGTGGTTTCATTCAGCCAAAAGGTTTGAAAAAGGTTGTGCCAACCCTTCCAAATAACTAAGTGGGAGCACTGCTGGTGCTTAGGTTTGCCAGACGGAAGCTTAAAGAATTCAGTTTGGAATTGGTTTGCAAACACAAATTTAAAAAGTGGTTCGCCAAAATCACCGTTTGGTCGGGAAAATTCGCCGTTTGAGCGCGAAAATTCGCCGTTGATTTGTCCAAATGGTACAAACGTCAGAGACCGGCCAGTGCAACTGTTTTTGATCATGTTTCAAAGTGTTTTCAACAATTTTTCTCACCCCTCTCATCTTTAAGCTTCACATTCAAGGGTACCGTCAGAGTTTTGCCATTAGTAAAACGCGCAGATGGCTAAGTTCGGTTCTTTCCTAACCAAGCCATCCAATCCAAGATCACAAAGGCCATTAACAAATCCGAATTCGAGACCGGGTGATGTTCTAACTTGTGCGTCATGTTCAAACTACAACCAAGGTTGCATGGGGCGAACCTGACAAAAGAATAGAAATGCAACACCATCCAGCACCGTTCTTATACGTGCAAAAGCTGGCGATTTTTTAAAGCAGTTTGAAATTCAGAATCGAAAGTTGAAGGGCACGCTCCAAGTCAAAAGCACCACAGCCAAAGCCCTTCTGACAAGAATAACAACTACAAAGGAGCTCAGAACGGCAAAAAGCAAAAATCTGGACCCATAGGAAGAGCCAGGTATGTCATCCTTGTTTAACTGTGGGCTTCCCTGTGATATCTATGATATCCATGATCTTGGTGTTGCAACTTTTTTGGGCTAGTACCATGGTACTGCTGTCCATCGTAGATATTCTTCTCAGGGATTGAGCGTTCTTAGGTCACGTTCCTCACTTCAAGGTTTTCTCTCCAAAAACTCCATGCGATGTCGTTTGGAACTTTGGAAGAAAAGGGGACCCGGCACCATGTGCCATCATTTAGAGTACCCCATGGGACCCGGCGAATCACAGGTTGTTGGATGCTCAGTGTCCGCCCAGCAGGTCTTCCGGATCTCGCTGATGTTTTTCACTTGTTGCATGATGAAGTCCTGCGATCAGCAGACCCCTCCGGATTTAGTTTATAAATGTATATGTATACTGTATACATTTAATATATAATATTATACTATATTATACTATATTATACTATATTATGCTATATTATATTATATTATATTATGTTATATTATACTATATTATATTATATTATATTATACTATATTATACTATATTATTATTATATTATATTAAATTGTGATATATCATATTATATTATATAATCTTATATTATATTACATTATATTATATTATATTACATTATATTATATTACATTATAATATATATTATATTACATTATAATATATATTATATTACATTATATTATATTATATTATAATCAAAGAAAGTTTAGGGGGAGAAACTTCCGTGTTACGGACTTTTAGAATGTCAGGGAAAGAGTTAGTCAAAGAAAGAGTTAGTGAGGGAAAGAGTTAGTCAAAGAAAGAGTTAGTGAGGGAAAGAGTTAGTCAAAGAAAGAGTTAGCAAAGAAACAGTTAGTCAGGGAAAGAGTTAGTCAAAGAAAGAGTTAGTGAGGGAAAGAGTTAGTCAAAAAGAGTTAGCAAAGAAAGAGTTCGTCAGGGAAAGAGTTAGTCAAAGAAAGAGTTAGTCAAAGAAATAGTTAGTGAGGGAAAGAGTTAGTCAAAGAAAGAGTTAGTGAGGGAAAGAGTTAGTCAAAGAAAGAGTTAGTCAAAGAAACAGTTAGTCAGGGAAAGAGTTAGTCAAAGAAAGAGTTAGTCAGGGAAAGAGTTAGCAAAGAAACAGTTAGTCAGGGAAAGAGTTAGTCAAAGAAAGAGTTAGTGAGGGAAAGAGTTAGTCAAAGAAAGAGTTAGCAAAGAAAGAGTTAGTCAGGGAAAGAGTTAGTCAAAGAAAGAGTTAGTCAGGGAAAGAGTTAGTCAAAGAAAGAGTTAGCAAAGAAACAGTTAGTCAGGGAAAGAGTTAGTCAAAGAAAGAGTTAGTCAGGGAAAGAGTTAGTCAAAGAAAGAGTTAGTCAAAGAAACAGTTAGTCAGGGAAAGAGTTAGCAAAGAAACAGTTAGTCAGGGAAAGAAGTCAAAGAAAGAGTTAGTGAGGGAAAGAGTTAGTCAAAGAAAGAGTTAGTCAAAGAAAGAGTTTGTAGGGAAAGAGTTAGTCAAAGAAAGAGTTAGTCAAAGAAAGAGTTAGTCAGGGAAAGAGTCGCAAAGAAAGAGTTAGTCAAAGAAACAGAGTCAAGAGTTAGCAAAGAAACAGTTAGTCAGGGAAAGAGTTAGTCAAAGAAAGAGTTAGTGAGGGAAAGAGTTAGTCAAAGAAAGAGTTAGTGAGGAAAAGAGTTAGTCACAGAAAGAGTTAGCAAAGAAATTGTTCCCTCACTGTAAATGGGATTGCAAGTGGTGCTGGTGGAGGAGTTGCCGATGGAGTTTTGGAGGAAGTCTCGCACGAAATGCGTTTTTGAGAGATAGCAGATGCACGAAAGCCTATGTTTTTCCATACAAAGTCCGTCCCCGAACGTCGATGATCTACCTCTGCGGTGCGACGGTTGCGAGACGGTCTCGTGTGTGGTCGGATCATGGTCGGATCATTCTCGGATCATGCTCGGATCATGCTCGGATCGGTTCCGCATTGTAAATGGGGTTTCACCTGTTTTTCGTGCATGTGTGGTCGACAGAATTCCATTGTGATTTGCAACTGTAGGATCGTTCCCGCACTGTAAATGGGATTGCAAGTGGTGCTGGTGGATGAGTTGCCGATGGAGTTTTGAAGGAAGTCTCGCACGAAATGCGTTTTTGAGAGATAGCAGATGCACGAAACCCTATGTTTTTCCATACAAAGTCCGTCCCCGAACGTCGATGATCTACCTCTGCGGTGCGACGGGTGCGAGACGGTCTCGTGTGTGGTCGGATCATGGTCGGATATTCTCGGATCATTCTCGGATCGGTTCCGCATTGTAAATGGGGTTTCAACTGTTTTTCGTGCATGTGTGGTCGACAGAATTCCATTGTGATTTGCAACTGTAGGATCGTTCCCGCATTGTAAATAGGGTTGCAAGTGGTGCTGGTGGATGAGTTGCTGATGGAATTCCATTGTGATTTGCAACTCTAGGATCGTTCCCTCACTGAAATGGGATTGCAAGTGGTGCTGGTGGATGAGTTGCCGATGGAGTTTTGAGGAAGTCTCGCACGAAATGCGTTTTTGAGAGATAGCAGATGCACGAAACCCTATGTTTTTCCATACAAAGTCCGTCCCCGAACGTCGATGATCTACCTCTGCGGTGCGACGGGTGCGAGACGGTCTCGTGTGTGGTCGGATCATGTTCGGATCATGGTCGGATCGGTTCCGCATTGTAAATGGGGTTTCAACTGTTTTTCGTGCATGTGTGGTCGACAGAATTCCATTGTGATTTGCAACTGTAGGATCGTTCCCGCATTGTAAATGGGGTTGCAAGTGGTGCTGGTGGATGAGTTGCCGATGGAATTCCCATTGTGATTTGCAACTCTAGGATCGTTCCCTCACTGTAAATGGGATTGCAAGTGGTGCTGGTGGAGGAGTTGCCGATGGAGTTTTGGAGGAAGTCTCGCACGAAATGCGTTTTTGAGAGATAGCAGATGCACGAAAGCCTATGTTTTTCCATACAAAGTCCGTCCCCGAACGTCGATGATCTACCTCTGCGGTGCGACGGGTGCGAGACGGTCTCGTGTGTGGTCGGATCATTCTCGGATATGGATCATGGATCATTCTCGGATCGGTTCCGCATTGTAAATGGGGTTTCAACTGTTTTTCGTGCATGTGTGGTCGACAGAATTCCATTGTGATTTGCAACTGTAGGATCGTTCCCGCATTGTAAATGGGGTTGCAAGTGGTGCTGGTGGATGAGTTGCTGATGGAATTCCATTGTGATTTGCAACTCTAGGATCGTTCCCTCACTGTAAATGGGATTGCAAGTGGTGCTGGTGGAGGAGTTGCCGATGGAGTTTTGGAAGGAAGTCTCGCACGAAATGCGTTTTTGAGAGATAGCAGATGCACGAAAGCCTATGTTTTTCCATACAAAGTCCGTCCCCGAACGTCGATGATCTACCTCTGCGGTGCGACGGGTGCGAGACGGTCTCGTGTGTGGTCGGATCATTCTCGGATATTTCGGATCATCTCGGATCGGTTCCGCATTGTAAATGGGGTTTCAACTGTTTTTCGTGCATGTGTGGTCGACAGAATTCCATTGTGATTTGCAACTGTAGGATTGTTCCCGCATTGTAAATGGGGTTGCAAGTGGTGCTGGTGGATGAGTTGCTGATGGAATTCCATTGTGATTTGCAACTCTAGGATCGTTCCCTCAATGTAAATGGGATTGCAAGTGGTGCTGGTGGAGGAGTTGCCGATGGAGTTTTGCAGAAAGTCTCGCACTAAATGCGTTTTTGAGAGATAGCAGATGCACGAAACCCTATGTTTTTCCATACAAAGTCCGTCCCCGAACCTCGATGATCTACCTCTGCGGTGCGACGGTTGCGAGACGGTCTCGTGTGTGGTCGGATCGGTCTCGGATCATTCTCGGATCGGTCTCGGATCGGTTCCGCATTGTAAATGGGGTTTCACCTGTTTTTCGTGCATGTGCGGTCGACAGAATTCCATTGTGATTTGTAACTGTAGGATCGTTCCCGCAATGTAAATGGGATTGCAAGTGGTGCTGGTGGATGAGTTGCCGATGGAATTCCATTGTGATTTGCAACTCTAGGATCGTTCCCTCACTGTAAATGGGATTGCAGATGGAGTTTTGAAGGAAGTCTCGCACGAAATGCGTTTTTGAGAGATAGCAGATGCACGAAACCCTATGTTTTTCCATACAAAGTCCGTCCCCGAACGTCGATGATCTACCTCTGCGGTGCGACGGGTGCGAGACGGTCTCGTGTGTGGTCGGATCATGGTCGGATCATTCTCGGATCATGGTCGGATCGGTTCCGCATTGTAAATGGGGTTTCAACTGTTTTTCGTGCATGTGTGGTCGACAGAATTCCATTGTGATTTGCAACTGTAGGATCGTTCCCGCATGTAAATGGGGTTGCAAGTGGTGCTGGTGGATGAGTTGCCGATGGAATTCCATTGTGATTTGCAACTCTAGGATCGTTCCCTCACTGTAAATGGGATTGCAAGTGGTGCTGCATGAAGGCTGCCACAGTGATTTGTCAGCAGATTTTCTCTATTTTGGCGCTAATGATTTTCCTTCTAAAAATCCTTTTAAAAAGTGCTTCAAAATCGTCTTTTTTTCGCTCTGGCGTCGAGATCCGGTTGTGGAGCTACAATTTCCGACGCCGTTGCATGTACTTCTATTGTGTTTTGCAACTCAGTCTCTGCAGATCGCATTGTAATGGCTGCGTCAAGGTTGCTTCATGCTGTGGCTGCATGCGTAATACTATTGTCTTTTGCAGCTGGACTTCGTAAATCGTATTGGAGTGGCTGCATGAAGGCTGCGACAGTGATTTGTCAGCAGATTTTCTCCATTTTGGCGCTAGTGATTTTCCTTCTAAAAATCCTTTTAAAAAGTGCTTCAAAATCGTCTTTTTTTCGCTCTGGCGTCGAGATCCTCCGGTTTTGGAGCTACAATTTCCGACGCCGTTGCGCGTAGTTCTCTTGTGTTTTGCAACTCAGTCTCCGCAGATCGCATTGGAATGGCTGCGTCAAGGAGTTTTGAAGGAAGTCTCGCACGAAATGCGTTTTTCGCGCTAGCGATTTTCCTTCTAAAAATCCTTTTAAAAAGTGCTTCAAAATCGTCTTTTTTTCGCTCTGGCGTCGACATCCGGTTTTGGAGCTACAATTTCCGACGCCGTTGCGCGTAGTTCTATTGTGTTTTGCAACTCAGTCTCCGCAGATCGCATTGTAATGGCTGCGTCAAGGTTGCTTCATGCTGTGGCTGCATGCGTAATACTATTGTCTTTTGCAGCTGGACTTCATAAATCGTATTGGAGGGGCTGCATGAAGGCTGCGACAGTGATTTGTCAGCAGATTTTCTCCATTTTGGCGCTAGTGATTTTCCTTCTAAAAATCCTTTTAAAAAGTGCTTCAAAATCGTCTTTTTTTCGCTATGGTGTCGAGATCCCGGTTTTGGAGCTACAATTTCCGATGCCATTGCGCGTAGTTCTCTTGTGTTTTGCAACTCAGTCTCCGCAGATCGCATTGGAATGGCTGCGTCAAGGTTGCTTCTTGCTTTGGCTGCATGCGTAATGTCTTTTGCAGCTGGATCTCGTACATCATCTTGGACTGGCTGCATGAAGGCCGCGAAATGGATTTGTTAGCAGATTTTCTCCATTTTGGCGCTAGTGTTTTTTTGTTGCACGTAGGTTTAGAGCAGTGTGAAGTGTGGGGCGTGAAGAGTGCAGTGTGAAGTGCGCAGCGTGAAGGAAGCAGTGGGAAGTGAGAAGTGTGAAGTGTGGAGTGTGAAGTTTAAGTTTGGAGTGCGAAGAGCGCAGTGTGAAGTGTGAAGTGTGAAGTGTGAGGTTTGGAGTGTGAAGGAAGCAGTGAGAAGTGTGAAGTGTGGACTGTGAAGTGTGAAGTGTGAGTGAAGTGTGGAGTGTGAAGTGCGAAGTGAGAAGTGTGAAGTTTGGAGTGTGAAGGAAGCAGTGAGAAGTGAGAAGTGTGAAGTGAGAAGTGTGAAGTGTGGATTGTGAAGTGTGGAGTGTGAAGTGCGAAGTGAGAAGTGTGAAGTGTGAAGTGTGGAGTGTGAAGTGCAAAGTGAGAAGTGTGAAGTGTGAGGTTTGGAGTGTGAAGGAAGCAGTGAGAAGTGTGTGAAGTGTGGACTGTGAAGTGTGGAGTGTGAAGTGTGGAGTGTGAAGTGCGAAGTGAGAAGTGTGAAGTTTGGAGTGTGAAGGAAGGAGTGGAAGTGTGAAGTGTGAAGTGAGAAGTGTGAAGTGTGGACTGTGAAGTGTGGAGTGTGAAGTGCGAAGTGAGAAGTGTGAAGTTTGGAGTGTGAAGGAAGCAGTGAGAAGTGAGAAGTGTGAAGTGAGAAGTGTGAAGTGTGGACTGTGAAGTGTGGAGCGTGAAGTGCGAAGTGAGAAGTGTGAAGTGTGAAGTTTGGAGTGTGAAGGAAGCAGTGAGAAGTGAGAAGTGTGAAATGTGGAGTGTGAAGTGTGAAGTGCGAAGTGAGAAGTGTGGACTGTGAAGTGTGAAGTGTGAAGTGTGGACTGTGAAGTGTGAAGTGTGAAGTGTGGACTGTGAAGTGTGAAGTGTGCAGTGTGAAGTGTGAAGTGTGAGGTTTGGAGTGTGAAGGAAGCAGTGAGAAGTGAGAAGTGAGAAGTGAGAAGTGTGGAGTGCGAAGTGTGGAGTGTGAAGTTTGAAGTTTGGAGTGCGAAGAGTGCAGTGTGCAGTGTGAGGTGTGGAGTGTCGAGGGAAGGACACGGTCGGGACAGGTTGTCTTTGAACTATAGGTCATTTATGTTTGGGAAACTTCCGCCGCCGGCTTGCCCGGGTCTATGTTATATTACATTACATTATATTATATTATATTATATTCTATTATATTATATTATTATATATATCACACCTGCGAACAGCTTAGACTGGATACTCGGCACCTGGGGGAGGGCCGGCATTGGCAGGACAGGCTCGGGGGAAGGTGTCTGCAGCCTGAGCAGCTGAGAAAATGGCAAATGGGTCAGTGCTGATTGGTGGAAGGCTCATGCCCTTTCTGAGGTGAGTACATACCTTCAGTCTGAGTATAACATGTCAACCCACTGGTACATACTGGTACTGGAGCCACTTACTACCAATTGACTAACGTTAGAGATCTGCCGGTTGCCATTTATATACCGAGGATGCCCTGAGACTTCTGCCGCATCCATGGTGCCATTGGGCTGGGAGAGCGGTCCTTCGATGCGAGGGTGTGTACAAATGAAGATTTGCCTGCTCTTCAACTTATGCCACACCAAATGGCAAGGTCAAAATTGATCAAAATGGATCAAAAATTGCAGATTTTTTGTGGAATATGATTTCGAATACACCCACCCTCTGGGCAACGGCAAAGCCCCCTCTCAATAAAACCAGCCCAGGAGTTCCCAGAAGGGCCCCTGAATCCACTTCCAGCAGAAAACAAACATGTGTATCCATTTGCCACTCTGTCGCGCATGTAGATGCTACCCAAGCCCACACTCTCTCATGAACATCCCAGCCTTCTTCTTTGCTGGCTGACGTCCGCGCTGCGTGCAAGGCATCTGCACAGGCTCTTCCTCCTACAGGTAGCACTGAAAACATTGAGAACACTTCTTTCACTTTCTTTGGCGTTTGGCTGTTGCTGGTCTTTGACTGGGTCGACTGCAGTGCTGCTTCAGTGGGAGGGAAAGCACAAGCCCTCAAAATTCAACAAACAAAGCACGATGGAAAGGTCCTCTTCTACAAACCTCAGTAGGCCATGCAGAATGATGAAGCACGACACGACGCTCCTCCTTTTCGGCCTGTCAGTCTAGCTATTGTCCCTCAGTTCCTTTCCTGTTGATTCACATCCTCCGACTAGTTTACGGCTTAGCCGCTTACTTTTATTCCTTGCATCGCCTTGCTACCTATCGCTTCCTGTCACTCATGCCCACATCTACATCCACAGAATCCACAGGTACATTGTGGTACGTTGTTAGCCACTACTACGAATCTACTAACTAGCACTATTTAGCACCGCATCACTAATTACTCGTCCTGTTGCTGCTTCACAGCTGCGACTCGCTCTCTCCTACTCTTGCTCCTCCTGGTGCAACTCCTACTAACAGTCTACGTTACTATACAATCCTGCCAAACTTGTGACATCTGACATCAGATCAAGTGCCGGACTCTTGGTAGGCGCCACCTGAGTCAAACCAACCTACAACCTATAAGGAAATTCATTCGTAGACCTCACCCATTCTGCATGGATCATCATGGCCACCATCACCAGCAAGAAGAAAAGAAGAAGAAGAAGAAGACCAACAACAACAACAACAACAACAGCAACAGCAGCAGCAGCAGCAGCAGCAACAGCAACAGCAACAACAACAACAACAATAACAACAACAATAACATCAACAAATGATGAACGTGTTCACTGCAAATAATCCACTGTAAATTGTACATAACCACTTCACCTAAGAAAATATGTATCTTGGGCACACAGCTGAACACTATGTCGTTTCGCAGTTACCACTCAATGAAACCGGTTCCATCAAGTTCCATACCTGCATCTTGCATCTAGCTGATCTAGCAGAATCTAGCCAGGAGCCAAGTCAGCGCCAAAGCTGAGTGGATGCCTGCCACCGAGGAACATTTTGGCAGACCCTGACCTGTGCGTGTTGGGGAAGGGTCTGGAGTGCGATAGCCACGATGCAGCGAGGGCAGGCCACGCTCCAAAAGTCCAAAAACCAACTTCATGTTGGTGAGGCCTCAGCTGAACTAGGTGATTTTGAACTTTGAACGACTGAGCGACTGGAACATGACTGGAACATATCAAATACTTAGGTTTAGAAGGCGCCATAAAATCCCACGGCATCCCACGGCTGATCATAATTGTACGAGGAGGATTTTCTAGGCATTTAAATTGAATCAGGGGATCTTGCCGAGTTCCAGACTTGCAGGTTGCTCTTGATCAGAAGGGGTCTTACTGCCATCCTGGGTGTTGCTGGGGGCTGCTCAAAAAAAAACCATCAGCTGAGCTGGAGAAATTTGCTCAACCTTCCCCTACTGTTCGGCACCCAACTTCAACATCCGCTAGATCTGAGATCATCAAAAATGATCAGAAATGGTCAGTTGCCGCCAGGCAACGGTGGTGGAGTCCAGAGGCTCCTGGAAGTCGCAGAATTTCATGTTCCTGAAGTGACATGCAACAACTTTAATTTTAATTTTAACTGCTTGCCACCGCTGGAGGAAAAAAACAGTTGAACATTAAGCCAGGCACATTGGCATGTGAGTCTCGGGAGTCTGAGATCGAGATCGAGATCCCTCCATTGCCTGAAGGCGCGCGAGCCAGCTCAACATACGATCCATTGATCGATCGTTGTATCTTCTGAGTCAAAGTTTCTAGCTATAAATCTGGATGTGACAAAAATTCCCAGTAGGAATTATATAGATATACATGTCCTGCCAAACCACGTCAAAAAAAAGTATATAAAACGCATGAAAATACATTTTAAATCCTTTTTCCAATGCAATGCGGGACATGCACCAATTGCAGGCCAAAGCGCTGCGAACATTGTGAACCTGAAGTGCAAACACATCAATACATCCACCTCGCCACCCTTTACAATGGGTTTCCGAATATGCAACCATGTCCAAACTGCAAAAAGCAACGCCGTATCTTTTCAAATGTGAAAATATCATCATTTGAGCGGTCACCGTTTGAGAATGGCAGCGTGGTTCAAACTGAGCAACGGAGTGAACAGATAGGACCAAAGCCCAAAAGATTTCGCGTTTATCACTTGCAGTTGCAGGCGACTGAGACGCTGAGCCACACCCACAGAACAACAAGTCTTTGCTTCAAACGCAAAAGTTCGGAAAGTCTCAAAAAGTTTCTGGTGTGCTCTCTGCTAAGGGCCGAATGAAAATAGTATGTGCCAAATGTCGGTTCAAAATCAGGAAAGCCTTGTTGAAATTTGACATTTCAAATGATCATAGGGGAAATAACAAGATACACATGTTTTTTTATGTTTGAGCCCTTGGGAACAGAATAGGAAATCCATGGTTGGCCACCGAAAACAAGGTAAGGCCGCCCGTACAGGCGCATGCTCTGTTTTGGTTCCATGGTTTCGAGCCTATTTGAGAACAGTGTATCTATACTATATCTACACAAACAATTGAATTGAAAAACTGGAAACGCCCCCAAAAAAACAACAAGTGAGAGTGACGCGTGGGCGCGCCTTTTTACAGCGCATCCCAGGCCAAATGCACCGGCATGTCTCATGAGTTTGGCCCTGGAAGAGAGGGATGCTTTACAGTATGAAAGTAAGGTGTGATGTACTTCTGAACTTTCAAGTCCCCCCTCATTCCGAACTGTACGGGGCCAACGCAGAAGCTAACGAACGAAGGTTGAGCAGAACTACGGCCTACGGACGAATGCTTCCCACGAATGCCTCAAAGCTCAGACGGGCTCCAGGCTAGGGATGAGAGAATTTACTATGGTGAATGGTGAACCCTCTGTGCCTGGTTATTCTATGCACATGCGTGCAATGCAATTAATTATCGATGCTTGAAATCCAAACGGATGCATAGGAGAGGCGCAAGTGCAGCCAAACTCCGTGGCAATGAATGGATGCAAATGGAGTGGCGCTTTAAGCAGCCGAGCTTCCAATCGGTAGGTGAAACACAAGACAACGAAAGTCCAAAAGATGAAAGTGCAGATGGAACTGAATTACATCCACACGGATGTGCGCTTGGCAGTTGCGACATGCTGATTAAACTTCGGCAGTTGATGTTGAAATCCAAGGGAAGATGGCAAAGCAAAATCCAAGGAATGAAAATGCAGATGGAACTTAATTACATCCGCATAACTGTGCCTTAAGTGGCTTGCAACATACTGGATTCTAATTACAGTAGCTGGTGATTGAATACTCAAGTAAAACAGAAGATGTCTGGATCCACAACTTGAATCAACAGCAATTTGTATGCCGTGACAGGAGGATTCCTGCAACCAAAGTCCAAACCTAAGTGGCTGTGATGGGCTTGATGCAGAGCAAATCCAAAACACCCGACCACATAGACACTGGCAATGCGTTATTATTCATGACGCCAGCCTTTTGATGACTCGTCTGAATGTACTGGGTGAGGATGTCCTCAGCAGAAAAGCTTCGCAAGTGCTCGCAACATTGATGCGATGAAATTTGGCCAAATGCTTTAATTTTGGGCTGTAGCCCTTGGCGATAGTTGCCAACACTGCTTGGTTGTCTTCGTAGCATTTGAGAACAAAGGTGGCGTCAAACAGACGCTGGCACACTGCCAAAAGTGAAATAGCCTCACCAAACAGCGAAGTGCTCAAGGCCGCAAACTCAGCCTCTGTCGTTGATCTAGAGACAGCCCTCTGGGTTTTTGATTCCCAAAAGATAATAGCACATGAATCTGGGCCTCCAAGAGCGATGATAAAGCCACTATATAGTCGACTTCATGTCAGGTGACAAACCAAAGTCACTATCAACATAGGGCGACAACCACAGCTTAGCTGGAGGGTCGTTGATACGCATGACATGAGCGTAATCAACAGTGGCAGCGATGTAGCCAACTAAACGAGCGGCACGCTTGTCGTCATTGGCACTCCATCGAGTGATATTTCGGGCAAGTGTATTAATAGCAACCATGAAGTCAGGACGACTGATTCGACCAAGCCACATAAGTTTCATCACAAGCTTTGCAGAAGAGGTTGATAACTGTCCAACACACTGATCGTCAGTTTCGACCCAGGTTCCGCTATCGCAGTGAGGTGTGCGAAAGTGCTTGACCTTGTTGCCTGACACTTGTTCATGGTGTTCGACGCACTGCTTTGCAAAATTTGCAGAGTAAGACCCTGATCACGACCCTGATCACAAAGAGACATGATTGCGTCCAAGCACCTTTGATAGCTCGGCGGGATCCTCAAGTTGAACATGTTTCTACAAAGTGGACCAAAACTTGGTGTGTTTCTTTTGTGGACCACTCAATGTCAGGTCGTCAACATAAACACTGAGGGCAAGACTCATGGATGGAAAGTGAAAACGACTGGGTTGCTCTGGCATTTCAACGCCTCCAAGCTCTTTTGATAAAATACTCGCAAGGTGATTTTGCCATGATGCAGATGCCAACGGGTGACCATACAACGATCGGATGAGCGGAGCTACTGGTTGGTGAATGTGTCTGGCATGAGACGGCACCAGCTCTGCAGGGAGCAGAACATATGTTGGGCATGATGAGTCAAGGAAACTTTGAACATATGTTTTTATGCAGTCTGAGGTCGAACATGCGTTTCCATCGACAAGACCGAATGCAATGATCAAGTTTTGTCCACCAAGGCTCGTGGGCACAGAAACTGCCAGTTCATCAAAGACAGCCATTCTGAAGGAGACTTCTCATACCCTTTGATGCTAACTATAACCCATCAAGTCACCAACCTGAATTTTCTGACCTTTCGCTCGTGCTTCAGCCAAGACCTCTGCTTTGGAACGGATTTTTGACTCATCCCATGTCCCATTGGCAAGAAGCCCTTGCTTCTCCGAGTTGATGGCATCCAAAACATCTTGTCGATCTTTCCATTCACTTCGATCCAAAAGTCGATGAACATAAGCAAGAGTGACAACTTTCTTGCAACCTACCTTGAACATCGCAATGTCAAGGGGAACTGAGGGATAGCCCGCAACAAGCTTTTGGCGGTGAGGCTGTCGACATCTTGCATCACATGGCATAGAACACACATACTGATTGACGACATGAGGAAATAATGATAGGACCCTAATGTTACAAAGCTTTTCGTGGGTAAAAGGCTGACATCCTAGTCCACTTACCTTGAAGTGGTGCAGGACTACCGTGAGTACACTTTAAAGCTGCAAGATTCGTCGCCAAGCGCAATGAAGATGTGATGAATCTCCAAGGCTTCTTTGCTGGCTGGCCGTCGGTTTCAACTCCGACTGCGCATCCATTGAAAGTCGCTGAATGCAAGTTCCTATCAAGAATCCACGACTGAATTGATGGTAATGCCCAACCAGTACAATAACGTGGCCATTCGAAACTGCAATCTCCACCGTTACCGAGGCAGATGTCAGCTACCCGAATAAATTGTTCCACCAATGCGGCGCTTTCCGCTTGCTCTTGATGGATTCCTGCTGTCAGTTTTGGGTATTTTGCCCGATTCAAATGTAGCCATAGGCTCCATGGCTTGCATTGGATGGAACAGTGGATGGAGCATCCTTCCAAAGCGCCAACCTGAGGGATAAGCTGCTCGATGCTGTAAGGATCTTCCAAGTTGACGTCCTCCTTACACAGCCGGATGACTCTCACCCCACATTCCTGTCCAACTTTGCCAAGATTAGTCTCTTTGGCACAAGCAAACTCGAACAATACATCCTTGCCAACAGGATTGTGCTTACCCTTGCCATGTTTTGGAGCCCTCTTCTCAGGAGTGGACGTGGCGCCAAGGCAGCCGATCTGACCCCCCTGATCAAAAGATCCCTGAAACATTGACTGGGCAGTGATTCAAATGAGTGGGTCGCTGATACTGGCGCAGGTCGACATTTTGGTGTCGTACGAAGCTCTGCAGGAACAGGGATATCACAGTTCCCTCTTTTCCGGATTTGCCAATGACTCTCACGAGAAATTGAATTACAGGTAGTGGTTTCAAGAAATCGTCCAACACTATTGGGTTTCAAGACCAAGATAGGATTTTAGGTGACGCATGGTGATGCCAACCATTTCCTTTTGGATTCATGCCCAGTGGTTATATCAATTGGCCTTGATGTAGGGCAGAATGGACACGAATGGACTAGGTTTCATTTGGCTTCCGGGTTCTAAGCCCTTTCTTGTTCGTGACCCCTCCAAGTGCCACATCAATTGTGATGAGGAGACGAAGTTTTATGCACCAAGAGTCCAAGACTCACTCAGAACGTTCCGTTCTTCCGAAACAATTTCGCAGTTATCCCCGGAATGCCTGCTGAACCCATTCCCAGAGGTGGTGATATCGATGTTTTGTCTCCTCCAGATCTTGCTGCGGAGCCGGTTGCGGTTCCTGAAAGTTCATCAGTTGAGCCAGCCGTTGAGCCTAGCTTAGATCCTGAAATGCCAAGCGATCCTGCGCCCATGGAACATGAGATTTTAGCTCCTCCTCCATTTGATCACAATTTGATTCATTTTCCAAAATTGTCCACATGTGATGTTTGCAATAGAGCCAGACTTTGTAGCAAAAGGGTCAAAAGTAGGAGAGTAGCCAATGAAGAACTTAATCTTTCAGAACCAGATGCTTGTGGACAACAGTTGGCATGTGACCATTTGATTGACTTTAAATCTTTGAGAAGTAACGAGCATGCAGTTTTGATTTCTCAGATGTGTTGCAAGCTTATCCAACAGTTCGAGAGAAGCATCCCAACTCGCATCCAATCTCAAGCATTTTCTGGGCCTGAAATCACCCTCCTATACCATTGTTCGATCAGATGCTGCAGGAGAAATCTTGAAAGCTGTTATTGAAAACAATTGGTCGCCGGAGAGTTCAATGCCAGCACGTTTCCCTCACAATTCAGTTTTGGGGCGTGAATGAGAACGTCTCGGGAGATTGCCAAACCATTGTTTTTGCAAGTTGGTTTTGCTGCCAAACCCCAGCCTGGCCTCAAGCCTGCTCCTACGTTACAACAGCCAAGTCTGCATTCCGAAAAGGCAGTGAAGGGAACACGCGTTGGGAACTTCCTTTTGGAACGGAGTTTCTTGGACCTCACTATTTGCTTGGTCAGTTAGGCTTTGTCAGAACAAAAGATGCAGGGAAATTCAAGCTCAGT